CCGCCCGTCGCCCGCGGCCCAGCAGGTGCCCCCGCCTGGCCGGGGAGGGGGAGGGTCGCGGGCCATCTAGGACCCCCCGGGTTTGCCGGGCAGCGCTCAGCTGCCCCCCGGCCTCTTCAGCGCTTCCTTCCCCCGGGGTCGCCGAGGGGTTGTATCAGGCACTCGCTCCGCAGCTCCCGTTTTGTCGGACTGGTTCTTCTCCTGCCTGCTAGAAGACAAAGTAAGGAGGGGAAAGGCTTGCAAAGCTCGGATGTTGTTCGGCGCTGCCCTTGGGCGCTGTTTACAATTGTTATTTCCGGGGGGATGGGGGGGGGAAGAATCTATTTGTGAGTGTCCAAAAGGGGCCATCGGTTTCCATGTCCACGAGGACATCTCATTCAGAAAGGACGGAACAATCTGCCCTTAATGATTTAAAGATGGTGACTTTGGATCAGTTTTTAAAAAGCTCTAATAAACAAATTTTTTTGATTGGAAAAATATATCCTGGCACGCCCGTGTCTCTTCCCCGCTCTCCGTCCGCTATAGGGAAACGCTGCTATTCGCTCCCTGTCCTAAGGACAAAAAGTCTCCGGTGTGACAATAAACCAGAGGCTCCTCAGCAATTTAACACAAAGTAGATAGCGGAGGTGTCAACACGTCTTTGTTCTGTCCAGCATTTATTTTCCTGCTTCTTGGACTGTAACTATTAGAAACTGCACGAAGGTGAAATTCGTCTTAAGCAACACTTTTACTTTTTTTTTTAACAAACACAATAAAAATATGGGTGATATGTTGTTGAAATGTGGCTGTTGTTATTATCGTTGTTGGTGTCGTTATTGTTGTTGTAACAAATTATGACAGTGTATTCTTTGGGCTATTTTAAAATAAAATTAAATTAACAATTCCGGTTTTGGAAGAAAATACTACTCAGCCCGGTGTTCGTGCTTTTTTAAATTTTAGGTTGACAGAAATCCAAGCAAAAGCAATGACGCTACCTCCTTCCGAAATACGTGGAAGAGGAGGCGAGAGGGCTTGTGAAAGAAATACTCCTCAAGAAGGAAGAGGGACCAGTGTGAAGGACACATACAAATGCAAAGATTAGGGGTGGGGAAGGAAACACAAAACCCAACGCATGAATTAAATAATTTTAAAAAAAAAAAAAGGAAAGAAAGAAAGAAAGAAAGAAAGAAAGAAGACGCAGCAAGGAAAAGTCAATGAGAGAACTGAAGGCTGAAGTACAAAGGAAGGGAAATCGCCTTTGCTCCAATTTACAGACTGGTGATTGTCTGAAGGAGTTGTGCTCCCTGTCACCTAATCTCTTCCCTTGGCGGCTTGTTAGCGTTTGGCACGGGGTCTCTGCTCACAGAGCATTATACATTCCATATTCAAAAACCCTCCTTACATATACATCACTTGCTAATTTCGTCAGTGTGGGCACATTTCAGGAACTGATAATAGGACATTGTTATTTAAAGGACAAATAGCTCTGACCCACAAAGAGGCAGGAGCTCGTATTTTTTCCCTGCCCATTCCAGTCTGCCTCTTAAAAATAAAAGTTGGAATGAAAGAGGAGACGAAATGCTGGATTTCTGCTCGAAATGAAGGAGGAGACAAAGGAGAGTAAAGAATGCAATTAAACCACCAAAGTAATGTACAGAATGTCAGTTTTTCTTTATGGTAAAGCATTGTTTTTCTCTATAGAGATAACTGGATAATACTGTTGAGTTGCAATCCAGAAACCTTTTGTTTTTGCTGTTTGCTCGTTGTTTTTATTTTCTGAACACTCTGCTAGGTTACATCTTTGCTTTCTTCATGCGCACAAGCCATTTCGTTATCAAGATAATGTTTCTTTCAAGTATTTCAGATTTTCCTTCTCCGCCTCGTAGGTTTGTGCATAAGGTTTGTTGCTGTGAGCCGCAGAAGCCCCAGCCCTTGGTAAGAAGTCTGTCCATGGAAAAGAGTGTCCCAGCTCATTTCTATAGGTTACCGAAGTGTATTTCATTCGGGTTGGTTTTCTTCCTCTTCCGTGCCTAAAATCCTTCTCAGAGATAAATCACTAGTCATTTCTTTCCTTCTTCTTCCCCCCCCCTCCCCTTGGAATGTAAATCCTTTTAAGACTGAGCTATTTTTAGTCTTTTTTTCTGTAGGTGTCCGCTTCTGGGGAGAGAACACGATCAAATAAACATCGGCTGTAGGTACATTAACTCGAAGAGAAGCCCGGGAAAAGGGCGAGTTTTTAATAACCCTGAGACGAAGGTTTATCTCGTTAAAGGTACTTCTTCTCGCTGGTCCATGGAAACTGAGGTGGCTTTGCTCAGCACAGAGGGCGTGAAAGTGAGGAAAGAGTCAGTCCTGGTTGTGGCCGAACAGGTAAAGTCTGATCCGGAGGGTCTCTGCGCCAGCCCGTTGGACTGACCGCTGTGGCAAGCCAGGCAGGAGCAGGGGTTGCCCCCGGCGCTGCTGAGTCCATGAGTTGGGGCAGGGTAGAGAGAGGGATGCCTGAAGGCGCACAGCAGTTCTGGTCTCGGGTAGGGGTGGGAGAGGACCCTGAAGGTGTCCAGCGGCCTCAGGGGGGTACTGAAGGGAGTGGCGGCAGAGGCCGATGTGGCTCCGATGCCCATGTGGGAGTAGTAGGGCAGGGGCAGGTGGGACGGGAACGGGTAGGGCAAATTGCCGGTGGCCGCCGCGTGGCTCATCATGTAGGTATAAAACGCCGGGTCGGCCGGGTGTGGCCAGGTCATGGCCAGGCGCTGCCGCTTGTCCTTCATCCTGCGGTTCTGGAACCAAACCTGCGGGGAGAGGGGAGGCGAGAGCCGTCACGCCCCGCCGCCCCGCTCCGC